GCATCCGCAGGGTCAGGCCTGGCTTCTACGAGACTGTGGAGAAGGTGAAGAACTGCTAGCGCCCGCCGCGGGCTGGGCACGGCTGCTGGAGTGCCAGGGGCAATGCACACCGGAGGCAAGTTTGAAACCCCACCACCCACTGGAAGTGATTGTTGTGGATCCCCAAGCCAGAGCTCAGGAGCATCCTGCCTCCAGGGAAGAGGGCTGGGATGATGCCAACTGCAGCAAGGACTAAACCATGTGGATTTGGAAGGATGAGCTGTTAGCGGCCAGCGATGCCGAGGCTCAAACGTGGCCGATGATCCAAGGTTACGTAGCGTGTAAGCCTCTTATTCCAAGGTCCTGTCTGCATCCGTGGAGTTTGGAAGTCTCTCAGCATTTCTGAGCCAGTGGTGGCCTAACAGTACAAGCCAGGACTGGGATTTGCTGCAGGGTAATAGCTTGGACTTGCTGCTCCCAGAGAATCCACGCGCTGAGGAGCCCTGGCCCCCGTTGGCTGCAGCAGGGCCAAAGGGACTCGGCCCTTCCCACAGGAGGCGGTGTTCCTGCAAGGAAGGAAGTGGGTTTGGAGCATGTGTCACCCAGCCCTAGAGAGGCACACTGCATTTTTGGGAGGGCAGTGCTCTCCTGCTCAAGGTGGGGGGAGAGATCAGGAGACAGTGGAGTGCTTTGGCTGTAAAAGCATTGGTGGTTCTGAATGTTTTATTCTAGATTCTATTTTGATGACGTTTCCTTGATCAGGATAAACCTTCCTGTAACTGGATGAGTTTTATCATGAAGTCCCTAATATAGCATCTGGGGTGTGAATCCTAAATGAAGTGGTAATGTTTTATCTTCGGGGGGAGGGGGGTAACATAGGGGGGAAATACAAATTGCATTATTTAGTTTTAAGATGAGAGTAATTTTATAAACTATTATCCTACCTTTTTAGGATGTAGGGAAGAAAAAGCCTTCCCAGGTGTGGGTAGCTGTGCTGTTCTCAGCAGCAGGCACCCGGATCTGGGCTTGCTTTTCCACCCTCAAGGTCATGCAGACCAGCAGTGGGGAGATAGTAGTTTTCCACCCAGAGATTGTTTGAACAAAGCGTGACCCTCTTGCCCACGTACATCCTGAGCAGTGACGTGTCTGTGACTTTTTTAGTTAGAGTTGCTTTACTGGTTTTTAAAGATGAGAGACTTGAACTTCCAGTGAAACCCAGTGCTGGAGATCTCTCTGGTGAGGTTCCCAAACCTTGCCAGACCACACTGAAAATGGAAAACCCCCAAGTCTCTATTTGTCCACAAAAGATCTTTGGTAGAAAAAGCGCAAACTTGCCTGGTTTTAAAATTTACCTTCCAGTGTGAATGTTGGTTTCCCCACTCCAGTATCTCAGCTTTTCCCCATTTCTTTCCTCTCCGTCCTGCACATCATTTACTGACATTAACTCGTGCTCTTTCATTCTTTGGCTTTTGCTCCCTTTAACAATAAATGCATGTACAAATAATTTTGACAGTTCCTTTCCTTTTGATGAATCAGTGCTCAGACTGCTTTAAAGTCCCGTGCCAGAGGAGGAAGGGAACACAGAGCAGCTCTGGGGCCGTGGGCAGGGCTGGGCTGGCAGCCCTGGCTGTGCTGCCCCAGCAGGCCCCGTGTCCCGAGCGCTGCAGTTCCTCCCCGGGCCCTGGCTCCTCAGGCAGGGCCAGGGCCTGGCTCTGTGTCTGAGCAGCTCTCCATGGGAAGATGCTCCAGGACGTGAAGTGCCGTGTATTCACATCACTCTAGAGTTACAGGTTTGATTGCAGCACCCCCAGCCTCCGCTGCCTGACACTTGCAGCCTCCCTCTCTCCTCTGATGTGCTTCACTGACTTCCCCGTGCAAATTATGTCACGTTTAAACTATTTGCCTTCCAGCCCTGAAGTGCTGGACTTGAGCCTCTCACTGGGCCTCTACACCAGCAGCTCTGTTTCAGCAGGGAATATAGCCAAGCTCGGACCTCGCCGAAGTAGAAGTGTTTTAATAACTGCTGTAACCCCCCTTGTATTACAGATATAGCTGACAGTATAAATGCTTGTGTGTAAAGCAAATCCACCGGGGTTGGCTCGGATACGGAACACAGCTGTATAGTGCTTTATGATTTTCAGGGATTCAGGGAATTTAAGGTTGTCAAATCTGACTTCCTGTTTACCACAGGGAATTACATTTCATTCAGAAGCCCCACACTCAGCCTGCTGGTCTCAGTTGAACTGACGTGTCTGACAGAAAGTCGAGCCGAAGGTGTCAGCAGTCTGCTGCCTTCCTCGTTGCCTACTTAGTGATTTGCCACCTTCACTGTTTCAAAAAATAAAAAGAAGCAAAAACAAGTCCGACCATCTTCTAGGCTGGGATTCTCTTCATGCCATCCTGTACAGGCTGAGCAGTGTGTATCCATTGAAATCATATTTGGGGCTTTTTTAACTGAGTTTGACTGTGGATAGAGCCAAAGCCTGGCTCTGTTTCTGCTGCAACAGGGGGGAAATTTCTAAATCATGTATTCTGATTACTCTTCTTTGGGACCATGGTGCCTTTTTAATCAGGACAGCAAATCTTGTCCCAGGATTCTGTACTTTTGTACGTTAACAGTTGTTGACTTTCCTTTTTGGTGTGTCCCAAATAAATTAATATAACATACCTCTGGGCTTTTGTTTCTTCTTTCTAAAGGGGGAGGAAAGAGGAAACTGAAGCTAAAATAAATCTTCTCTGCTTCAGCTCTCCCTCATGGGCCCTGCAGGAGCAGCTGTGGTGTGTGCAGGGGGACTGTGTGGGGCAGCAGTAGGGAAGCTGCTGGAAATGGGAATCTAGCCTGGAGCAGCCCAAGGTGAAGGGGGGGAGGGATGAAACCTCTGCATGTGTTGGCAGCATTTCATGTGGGCTCTTGGTGCCTCAGCTCTGGACACAAAAGCCTGGTCCCACACGTGGGTGTCCCACACGTGGGTGCCCCACTGCTGCCTGTTCTGTCGTGGCTCAGGGATTTGGTGTGGGAGATGAGTGAAGGGCAGGGCTGTCCAACAGACACACAGGGCCGTGGTTTGTGCCACAGACCCTCAGCGAGGAAGGGAAGTGGTAAAAGAGGAAATGCTGGAAAGGGCATGTTTGCTTCAACGGCTCTTGCAGGAGGGAACCAAGTGCATCCCAGGGGTATGGACACTTTTGCTGGACACTGAGTCACTAATTTAACCGGGTATTTGGGGAGAAATATCTTCAACCTTCGCACCCTGAACCTTTCTGCAAGGGGAGCAGTAGAAAGGAGAGGACACCCTGAAACCCCTGCACCCCAGCCTGG